CCACAAGTCTTCCTGCCAACCTCTTTCCCAAGAGGTTTTCCATTCCCACCCATTTCCTTTTGAGGACTTACATGAGTTCAGGCTAACAGAACCTTTTGTTGAACAGAGGGGACAAGATACGCAACAGCATTGCAACCTGGTGGCTTGAGGTAGAGGACCAAGTACCATATGAATGTAGGAAGTGGGGAAAATGCTATATGTGCATGATGCTCTACCAGGGAGTGCTGGGTGTTTAGTGCAGTACCAGTACACCAACACGTAAGATAATCAACAACATCATAGAAGAGGAAAACTCTGCTCTGAACTTACTCATTGACTCGAATTACTTGTGGTGCTCCTGAATCTTCAATTTTCAATACCTTAACTGTGAATATGCTGTGACTAAAAGAAGTTTAAATTAGTAGAGAAATGAAAATATTTTTAGCCTCCACAACATCTGTTCAGAACACTGCTGAATCTGTCAGCATATCTAAGCATACACTTTATCAGATACAAACTTTTAAAGAGATATTTATGTAGTACTTATTTTGCTTTTTTCTCAGTCATATAGATAGAATAAAAACCAAATGCTTTTGCTTGAAGGAGACTATTTGATAAAACACTTCTAGCTTTAGTACATGTTCATCTTATTGAAGGATTGAATCCTTTTGTCTTAAAGCACTGCTAAAGGATGCCAAACCCTAAACCTAGATATCTAGACCTTCTTAAAGCCTCTTCCCTAGACCTTCAAGCCATATTTTTGATGCTTGCTCCATCCCACACACCATCTTATGCCCAAAGTTATTCAAAATGTTTCTCACCTCCTGCTGGAGTAAGCATTTAGTTTCGTGCTTGCAATACTCTGCTGCTTCAACCCCAGTTTTAGAAGTCGAAAAGCTTCTTTAGAATCAGAAATCTGTATCCACTGCAGTCCTTTAGGAAGAACAAGCATGATAAACTTGTAAACATCATCAAAAAGTAAGAAGGGCTTCACAGATAACATGCATACCAGGAGTAATATTATTCGGCAATCCGTAATGTATTCCAATCACCTTTTACATAAGAACATCCCTTGATGTCTTGAGCAAGGCGTAGTGTTCTTCTTTTTTTGTCATTTGATATTGGAATCAGGAGATCATAAAAACATTCATTGTAAATCTCAAAAAATGAAACCCAAACAGAAAACTTCATGTAATTTTCCACAGTTGTGCTAGATTGTTCCGAGTCTTTTAAGAGTTCTTCCATATCTACCAAGAACAAAATATTACAAGTCAATATAGGCCTAGTAAAGTGAATTTCATTTTAAAAATTAGCAAGTGAAAACTGACCCTTCTAAAACTCTTGTTGCAGACAAAAACCCATTGAAATCTCCCCCTTTATTAAGCATCAAATGCTTACCCCTACATAATTGCAAGAGATATTCTACTACTCCCCTTTCTGCTTGCAAATTCTACCAAACACACACAGCTTGGTTGGAATTATTCAAATCTCTTCAGCATCTTTAGAAGATGGAATCAAACCAACAAGTACACTTCATTATGACTTTTAAAAGCAAACCTAGTATTTAGGTAGTTTTTAAACGCTAGAATTAGATACATACAGGTACTCTATAAGCTTGTCACGACATCACTAGGGCCCACAGAATAAGTAGTCCTGCTTTTTTTGCTATAGTTTCATCCCAATGCCTGTTCAGTTATTTTTCTACACATTTTACCCTTGTATTTTCTGCACAGATAACTTGCTTACTATCCAATTCATAGGCATATAAAAAACATCAAGTAGTCATTTTGTTATTAACATAGGCCATAAGTCAGTTATTGACCTTAAGAAAACTTCTTTGCCAGCTTTAATTGCAATTCCTTAATATTAAACATACCATTAGAATCAATCGGTGCTTTGCTCGTGGTGCTATTTTGATGGTCTACCTATAAAAGAGAACAGAAACTTTAAGATATGTTGTTGACTGTACACCACCAGTTACTTCTGTAGTAGATCTATTGTCCTACCGGATACAAATGCAGCATAGTTGCAATATGCCAATACAAAGATCTTGGCTACATATTATGCCTAGTGGACCAACACACTCCTGTTGAAAGAATTATTCTTACTTTAATACTCATTCCTGATGCTTCCCTTGCGTTAGGCCTCATCACAGCATATAGCACTTCAGCTTGCTGAACCAAAAGAAAATGAGCCACAGAATGAGAGAGAAAGGTGGAAGCCCACACAGAAACAGAATTATTTAAACAGGATGATTTGCAGGACCCCAGTTGCAGTTTACACATTACTCTTAATGTGGCAAATGTAGAGTCCTGAATTATTTTTTTTTCTTATTAGCATTTTGCTAATCCACGATTCCTTATCTTGCAGCTTACTAGGTCAACTCTCAGAAACAGGTAAGTGTAGAACATATGTTCACTTAAGAAATTAAGTGATCAACTTATTGCTTCATGATTCAACTGTGAAAGGTTTCTACAGTCTGTATTAAAGTCTAGGTTTTAGAAAGAGAAGGAAAATCTTCCACTGTGCTCTTCAATTAAAAAAAAAAAAAAAAAAAAAGGCAACAAATCTAGAAAAGATCAAAGAACAAATCAGAGCTAGAGCTTATGAGGTTCATACACATGTACTCTATTCCCAGCTTTAGTTTTGGTTGTTTTTTTTTTGTTTAGGCACAGAATTGCATAAAAGAGAAGAAAACAGGCAGTTTCGGTCAGTTTGTTTTTGTTTGGGTGTTTGATTTTTGTTTGTTTTGTTTGTTGGTTTGTTTTGTTTTGTTTTTAATGTTTTGCCAAGGGTATATTTCATCTAAAGCTGGGATTCCATAAAGAGATTCCTGGAATAGTTACATAGTCAGGTAATCAAAACTTTTAGGTTTAAGCTTTACACATAAAAAACACCCACCAAAATCTGTCTCTTAATATATAGATGCAACCTTCGCCACCAAATTTATAAGCTGAAGTATTGTTCTTATAAGCACAGTTTCAGAAGCCAGAGGGAACATATACGTGTATTCAATGCACATAATAACAGGCTTTTCTGAAATACTTGAAAGACTTAGAGCAAGATTTAAAGTAAGCCTGTGCTTTTAAAGTGAAGCCTTGAGTTTTGCTGCCACCTGCCTTCTACACTGGAGAAGTCCAGTCAACTAACTCATACATTTAAAAAAAAAAAAAAAAACAAAACAAAAAAGCACACTAAAAAAACCCAGTGCAAAATATATTCCAATACACAACAGCCAGAACACTTCATTATAAGCTAGCATACCACTAGGGAGATAATTAAGTATTTTCACTAAAGATAGAGAAAACCCACAATAATCCCTTCCTAGTTCAATTTGCTAGCATATGCTCAGGTTTCTTATATTAGTCCATTCATTTCAGGATTAAAAATATCAAGAAAAAGGGTATCCTTGTATAAAATACAAATCCCCCATAACTGTAATTGGACTAAACAGCTTCAGAATTCCAGGCAGCTCATGAAGCTGAAGTGTTTTCCTGGACTGAAAAAGTGTTGCTTCTTTTGAGGATACTTGCCAAATTGGAGAGGGGAACAACCTCAAAATTATTAGTTTCATTCAAGTATCCTGAAAGACAGTGATTGTTTAAAGGAGCAGACCTAGTAGCACCTCCACAGATGTGGATACTATTTGCATACAGCCCTTTTTAAGCACCAGTAACCCTAGAAGATGAGTTGTCAGTTGCCCAAGCTACAGGAAGAAAAAACAAAAAACAAAAAAAAAAAAACCACCCAAAACACCCTTGACTTCACATCTTATCAAGTATTCAGCTACGAGACAGAAATCCACAGGAGAATAGGATTCATCAGCTCTACTGCCCACTTTACTGCTCATCTGGATAGCTAGTTGACAGCAAATAGACATGCCCATGCTTAAATAGAGTCTCTTTCCATTGAAAAATGACTAGGGTAACATTGAGCTATCTAAAGATATGCATGCTCATCAGTATAGGAAGAAGTGATTCTCTACCTCTTTTGTTAGGCGAAGTATTGAATTTTTAATAGCAATTTCTTCTCTCACTTGGTCTTTAGTCAGCTTTATATAATCTCTACATCGATGGGGTTTGAGATCCATTGCTGTGTATAACTTTCCTTGAATGCTTTTAAACAACATATCCATGGCCCTTGGCAGAATTCCGACATCATCTTCTGTCCCTGAAGGCAATGTACAAAAGGAAGATCCTAATTATTACTGGGATCAAGGTGTACAGATAAATGAAGACAGAAAAATAAGCAATTCTAATCTCAAGGCGTATATATGAGGAACTTGGAGGCCACTTACAGCACCAAGCAGTGGGTTGGGTTTTTTTGTTTTGTTTTTTCAGTATAACAGAAATACCATTAATGTTGCAAAAAGTATTCAGCTTTCAGCACTTTTGACAGTAAGGGGTGTAACATACAACAAAAAATTGCTGGGGTATTCTCATAAGCTTAGCCTCAAAGGAAAAAAAAAGAAAAAACAAACAAAAATACCACAACCAACAGACACTTAATAGATAATTGCAGTTTTTGAAATCACATTTCATAAGCTGCCTTCACTGACTTTCTCAAGGAAGTAATTGAAGTACAAATCATGACTGATCTCTCAGTTGTTGTCCACACACCCTACCAAAAAAAAAAAAAAAAAAAACCAAAAACACAGCACTAGAAGCCTTGTGAAAGGAACCACACACCTTTCCCCACCCAGCCCCTTTTTTTCAGAGCATACTACTTTTGCACCAGAAAGGCAAAAAGGAGTCAAATAAGTCTCTGTGCACACTCAAATTATTTGAATCCAGAAGCAAGTTTAAGAAGGGTTCACTTGAGTAATTTTTAAACCAGAGAGAAGGTGAGAGTGAAAGAGGAACTACTGTCCTGTCTCAGACTCTGACAGCATTACCTTCCAGCCTCTGATAGTTTCTCCTACACTTGAGACAGACTAGCATCTAAAAGCTATAGCACTGGCTGCGCCACATAAGTCAGAACTTAGATGAAATCTGGTTGGCACTTAAAAACCAAGCCAGTAACTAAATGACATCTGAAATTAAAGTACTGTTGCAGTACGCTTATTTCTCCTCATTTTCTCTCTTCTCTAATCATTTTTTTGTTTATTGTGATACCATTTGTTATTCAACTTAACATGAACAAAGTAATAGTTACTGGCAAACAATAAACCACCTTAAAAAAAAAAAAAAAACAAAAAACCAACAAACTGCTTCATCCTTCACTTAAGCCCTTTGCCATTGACTGAATACAGGCTCCCATGTAATGCCAAAGTGGAAAGGCTATATTGGCAATACCAGGAATAACAGAAGAGGAAATCATGGCACCCAGTAAGCAACATTCTGCCTTGCCAATTCTTATTACAACTTGATAGTTAAGTCCCAGAAGTGTAATATCATGAAAAAGTCTCCAGTCTGAAAAAACATGGATCAAAAATTCTTAGGGGGGAAAAAAAAAAAAAAAAAAAATGCACATCACACAGTACAACCCAAACTAGTCAAGCATGGGAGACTGAACACTTTAGGGATTTTGGGGTTTTTATTTATATGTTATTTGACAGCAAAGAGTATGCCATTATTGCCCCAGATTAGTGATAACTGAAAGAACTGGAAGTAGTCATTAGTTATAATCCACCTAACAGATTATCACTTAGAAGAAAACATCACTTCAACAAAGATCAGTTTCATATGGCACAAAACTCTTTGTCCTTCTACTACCTGTGCATATAAAATAACCTGCATAGCATCTGGAACTGCTAGACTCGTTATAGGAGAAATCGTTTCCATGTGAATCAAATCACCTTATTTGCTAAAATGTTTTGAAAAGGTAGTTAAAGAATGACACCTTCTGATCAGAAAGAACATTGAGTTTTAACAGCACAGAAATAATGCATTATGAAACAAGGTCTCCTGGGATGTTACTGGTAAGCTCAGAAACTTGAGACAAAACAGAAATACTTGGAAGTAATTAAACATGTTTCAAAACATTTATTCTCTGCCTGTAATAATTGAAATGGACTCAAATACTACTCCTTATTTGAAGACAGGGCATATAAGAAGTATATGACCTTTATAATAATAATAATAATAATAATAACAACAACAACAGTCGAGTGTAGAATTGCTTACACACCTTTCATATCCTGATACATAGAAGGTATATTTTCCTAACTCCCTCTCCTCCCTGACATTCTAGATACTTCAAGGGAAAAAGAAAAGTCATGGACAGCTGGTTGAAATTATTGCAGCCTTACAAATCAATATCACTATATGCTTACTTTAACTCAGAGAGACTCCATCTGTTAGCAGTTTACTTGTTATGGAAGGGGACTTTCAAAGGCTATTTATTAATATTCAAGAGAAGCCAGTGTTTAGGACCTACATTTTAAATAAAGGAAAAAGCTATAATATTTCTGCTAGAACCAATGCTCACTCAAAAAAAAAAAAAAAAGTGATTTAATTCAAGGAGAACTCATTTCTTCTTATACCTCGGAATGTGTAGGTTTTCCCAGCATTTGTAACGCCATATGTAAAAATGAGGCGATTATATCCATCGAGGAAATCCTGCACTGGTTGCCTCATGGCACCTTCAAAGAATTCTTCTTGAGTTGTTTCGGGTCCAAACACCTGAGCATAAACAAAAATATTTCTTGGTAAAGCAATTATTAGAAGCTTTTAAAGAATCTTTAAATTTTATATATTTATGAACTTAAGTCTTTAAAGACTATTGGTAGTTTAAAAATCTAGTTTTCTTAGTATTAAATAAGTTGAATCAACTTTTTCCAGGAATTAAAAACATTTAAAGACAATTAATTTACTCGTGAAAAAGTGAACTTCTGTATCATCTGTCCTACATTCTTCTCACTTAGTCGATTCAAAGAGTTTTTGGGGGGCTTCAGTATGATGCTTGTTGAGTCTTCAAGTGAAACACAGTCCTATTAAAAGGAAACATAAGCAATGCAGGCATGAAAAGAGTATAGAGAGCTCAGTCTTTTAGGGGATAAAACCACCCCCATACATTTAAGGTATTTTTAAACCAAGTAAGTTTCACACCTGGAATTCATTCTCTCTTTCCAATGATGTAAATGGCCTAATACGCAGACAAACTTGTATATGTCCCTTAGACTCCAAACTGCTCCTCTGAAGAAAAAAAGAAAAAAAAAATTAAGTTAGAAATTTGTCAAGATACTTTGATAACTAGCATGTTAAGGCAATTTTATTTTCAATAGGCTATTTTGAACAGACTTATTTGATGACATGGGAAGCAAAAGTAATTCATTATATCAGTTTTTACAAGTGCCTAGGCTCCTGCAGAAGGTCACTGCCATAACTTAGTTATTAATCTCGCAGCACATGTATATACACTACATACAGGACAACTAGATATCAAGAATGAAACCCACAAAAACATTCTATGATTAAGCTACTCTACACTGCCAATTAGCCTCATTCATAGAAGACCGATGCATCCAGCAAGGTACCAGTGCAGTGCCACACTACTTAGTCTAATCCTATGCATCTCATCCAAATTAAAAACATACTAAAGATGCTTTTCATCTTCTATGTAAAGTTCTGATTATTGTTGTCAATGAAAGGTCTAAGCTTATTTAAAAGATATCCAAACAATACAAACATTAAAGCTTTCTTACCTGGCTTGAGTCCGAGCTTAGAGAAACCAAAGAAAATTCAGTAGAGAGATCTGCTTTAATATCTTCCACATTTACTGGTCCTGTTCTTTGAGGTGGCTCAACACTAGTAATATAGGACCGTCTGAAAAATCCCTCATTATCCAGCATTGGTTCCATCCTTCAAGGTAAAACAAAACCATTTTTTGCTCTCTGAGCATATAATGTAGAGCTTTTAAAGTCCCTTAGAAGACTATTTGAAACCAGTAGGTTCGATTTCTCCAAGTAGAAAGTTTTCTTTATTCTACTCATAATTTACATGGCCAGTTTCTAATAGCTGGGGAAAGGGTCTGCAGAGGGGTTAGCATCATGATGAAACAGGAACAGCCATTCTTCTTTTAATGAAAAGCAACCACTTACCAGGAAAAGCCTTACACATATACCACAGCTTTGCTAAAAAACATGTCCGACAAGGAAGACAGAATAAAAAAAACTCCCACCAAACCCAATTATATTGTTCCACATCCACTTATCCATCATCCCATTATAGCACTCATTCTGAACACTCATTGCATGAGTAACTCGAACTTCATGGTTATCTCCGCAGGAGCTGATAAATTCCAAAGACTAAAAAATACCTTTAGCTATTAAGCTAGAAAATTAGAAGACCTCATGCCACAGTATGAGTTAAAAGTACTGCTTTTTAGTATTTTTCAGTCATTTTACTTATCAGCAATTCATTTATTAACCCATAATTTAAACACTTGCGTCCATCTCGGAACCTGGGCAGTGAAAATCTGCTATAGAAAATTAATGTAAACTGATTCAGTGTTGAGAGTAGACAGGTATATTTCAAAACAACTTTTTAGAAGTGCATTTAAAAATATTAGTATATTTTTTTGGCGCTTTATTCTTTTACTGCTTTTTCCTGTGAAGTTACAGATGTGACTAAGGTCACTGCCATAACTTAGTTAACTCATAAAGGATGGCAGCAAGCGTTGTAGCAATCGGACACCTACCACATAACCTCCTAATTTTGAAACACATGCAGTGTTCAATTAAATCAATGGACAGACCAGAGCTGGTTCAAAGCCCCTTTGCTCAGGAAGAGTGTTGCCTATTAAGCAGTTGTAACTTTATTGTTCCCCCAGCATAAAACCTGAAACATGTCTGTGCTTCAGCAGCAAAACACTTCAAAGCTTAGTCTTCCTACTCAGCCCGTAAAAGGCAGACACAGAATTTAATCCAGGCAAATGTCACCAAGCTACAAATGAGGTAGAGCTATACGTAAACTATGCAGCAACATTTACTTTGTTTCTTCTAATCTACAGTTTTATTTTTGTCAGGCCTGGTATGAAGACCAGGAAAACTTGGCCTGAAATACTATCACAGCTTGAACAAACACTGACCTGTGACTAAGCTACTAGAGGAAACAAACATACCTGTGCTATCACAATCTAGAAGCATTACTAATCAGATACAGAAAGTCACACTGTAAAACTCTTAACAGGTCTTGACAGGAAAAATATTTGTTAGATAACTGACATCTTAGTTGCTTTAATTTAAATGTAAACTTAAAAAGGAATTTGTCAGGACTATGCTCTTATTCTGTGCCTTTTTACACAAGAGGCTAAAGACAAACATTAACCTATGCATGTGGAGCTGGAACTGTAAGTGCTCATGTGAGCCCAGCACTCAAAGCAGTAAAGTTCAGTCAGACAGCACGGAAAACCCAAGGTGCAGACTATCCATCTCCACAGAGCATCATACAGCACTGTAATTACCGTAGATATTCTTATGAAAACAGATATATTACCTGGCTGTAGGCACCAAAGGGTACTTACATACCGGGATACGTTATTATAACTTTGATTATCGTGACGATAGAGTTTAGAGCTGCAGACACCCTAGCAGAAACGGATCCAGAACGGTACACAAAGTGCAGTCACAGTACACACACAGCCTGTGTAGCTCTGTTAAGCCACACAAGAAAGGGTAGAAAAGGCTCCAAACCACACGGGCCTGGCAGCTTATACAAAATATTAAGACATCAGATATTGCATTAAAACGAATGGGAGGGGAAAAAAAGAGAAAAAAAGTAACATTTTTCCTCTGCAAGTATCAACCTTTCCCTTCAAGGCTTTGCACTATTTTCCCGGTTTTACGCAGCACTGGCACATGGCTGTGTCAGCATCACGGCTCGCACGTCTCGCAGC